AGAAGAAGAGAAGAGGGCAGAACCAGGATGAAGCCAGTGAAAGCTAAAGAGTCTCCGCTAATCAGGTATACCCTCTATTATTTACATTTAAAACGTGGTTTTACATATTTCTTACAGTCTGGGGCTCTTTAATCCTGCTTCGATACGTTAAGTCCGTTTTACAGGCTATTTGGCAAGCGATATTCCATCGATCTCATTTTTAGTGCTACTGACCAGCTTGTAGTTATGTATTCATGCTTAGTAAAATGATATGGATTCGACATGGCTTGTGACCTCACAACCACAAGGTCAATTACAATATGAAACACTATACCTATATAGGTCGATATACACCATACTTATCAGTTTAGAGCAATTCTGAACGTCATCCCAAGAGACTCGAGCTAATTCAGCCTTGCTCTGCGATAGATCGAGGTTCTACTTTTGTCAAAATTCAGAGGAGGAATCCCGCCAACATCACGACGAGGCATTTCCCTTGTATGCGAAGTTTTTGTTGGAAACTGCAACTCATCACGTACTAGGAACGCCCAGCTCTGACCAGCAGAGAAGAACGGATGTGATTTCACATCGACATTTACCGGATGCAGATCTTGAATTCCTTTCGCTAAAACTAAAGGGTCTTTGATTTGAGTTTATCATAACGCGATTTTTTTACGAATACAAGCCTAACGGACGAAGCCAAGGGCCGGCTTAGAGAACCAATACGACAACTCGACCTATTACGACGGAATTAAGCAATTAGTCACGCCGTATCACGTGTGGGAGCTGTTTCAAATTTGATCAGTGAACTTTCTTGGAAGGCAGTTAATGGTGGCAATTAAGTCTCTATATAATTAAAAGAGTCTCGTCTTGATCATTCTACAAGCTCTTGTCACTTTGAAGGTGAGTAAAAATACGCAATAGTTGAATGGTTGACTAGCTGTGAAGGTCATTCGTACAAAGTTAGAAGCACAGCAATATGGCGGCACGAGTTTGGTTCTCCTTGACCAAACTGAAGACGTTTTTGGCTTAATCGATTATTACAAAGAGATTCATCTCTTAAATGTTTTGCTCTTGTCAAATTAACCCTTAAGAAATCGGAATTAAACCTACCACGCGCCAATGTACCGGTCTTGACTTTCAGTCATCGTACTTGAATATTTCAATATAGCTTAGGAATGCCGAGTTACTAAATTTTCAACTTTATTTTCTTTCTTGCAAAGACCGACTCAATTCGCTCTTCTTCTGGTTTAATTTCTCATCGCAAATCAATACTACGGCTTTCCTATTTGATAGTTAAAGATAGCACCACTCCTCATAAAGATAATATTYGATAACCTCAACAGACAAGAGGCAGATTCAATGCAGTCCGTACACATATATATTTTCTGGCTCGAACAACGAGTTCAAAATCAAGTTAATGCAAGAAAATATTATGGAACATTGTTGCAAAATTGTTCATCGACTCAACAGAGCAATTGTCTAAAACTTCAAATATATTTTCCTAGATAAATATTCTAAAAAATAGCAAAATGGTTTGTTTGTAGTAACAAGGGTAGTTTATCTTTTGGGAACTATTATTGACTGCTGTGTTCGCGCTTAACTTCGCCAAAGTGTTGTTCTAACAGATTATAGACGCGCAGAAATAACGTTTAAACCCAGAGAGAATAGATTGTACAACGATAACTACACCAACTGATAATTATAGAGTCAATAATCCGAGAATAAACAGTGTTCGAGTGCCGATCCGATCATGATGGCGTTGAAATTGAACCATACTTGAAACACTCCGAGGTAAAGCCGGAGAAAATGAACGTGTCTGATTCTTGTTTGGGATTTGTGAGCATAAACACATCAGAAGTCAATGAAATAACTGGGGAATCAATTCATTGACCAAAGTTACAGTTTTTGTTCATCTTGTCGCATTCTATTCTTCTTAAGCGCTTTAAAATATATCAATTAGCAGATTTTTATATTCTATGGTTCACTGCCCTGAATTCAATATCAACGTGATGGGTTCTTAACCTTGTGTGGTTAACCATTCCGTGGTGGCGTCGTTCGCTACACTTCAAAAACACAAAATCTATTGAGCATTTCTTAATCAGGCACTTGCTCTTACTTTAGTATCATACTGGCACCTCATCTTAACCTAACTAACTACTCCACTGAGTTCTGGAGAGGGAGTTCCAGAGGCGAAGATGAATTCTGTTGCAACTGCAAAACTTAAAAGGTTAATGCGATCTACCGCCTTCGAGTTGTCGTAGCTCTTAATTTAAGTGGATTTAAGCATCTTCGATAGGTAATCTTGATAGGGTGTTTAAGGCAAACCCGACAGTGACAATTTTATCATCTTAAACAACCTTTATAGCTTCCTCAAGGTATTGGAGTAGGCCTGTCAGTGATATTCTGTAATTTGTCATTTGTATCGGCAGCGCTCCACAGCAGAGGATTCATTCTGCCAATATGTCGGCTTTAGGACATTTAATTGAATTAGAATGCTGTAGCCCCCAAGCTTAGTCACGCCTGTAAACCGCCTGCAATAACAATCGGCTTGACTGAATCCACATCAACCAGTCGGTACGAGTCCAAGGGAACTCCACAATGAAATTTAATTGGAATAATTATCACCGTGCTGCGGCTCGGACTTCAAATGTCACTATCGATTCTTGTCATCTTCGCGCTATATACTTGACATATTTGGAAGAATTAATACAATTTGTGTTATAGAATGAGCTACGGATCACTGAAGCTTCTAATATGTTTTGTCTGTGTTGTCCACACGTGTCCTTTCAAGGTTCTTCTTGGCTTGGATTGCCCCTCATCCAAGTTGTCTGTCCGTCCATCTTGGTTTTAAAAAACATGTTCCTTGTYATTCACGACCAAACGTGTTTAGACATTCATTGGCTGTCATGTGACGACTCAAGCCAAATACACACTTTTTCATTCATTGTTGGAAGAATCTCCCTAATTCTTTTTATATGCGTCATGTACTTTCTTCTACTTCCTGTCATACTAAAACCACACTCTACACCTTTCAATAAACTCTGACTGAACTCAACTATTTAAGTTGTGATAAATCAGTCAATTCAGACTCTTCAAATACTCTTCAACCCTTTTACCGTGTCTTGTTTCTTTCTTGTTCCATTTTCCAACTCCTCTGTGTTGTTCTATCGTGACTAGCCACCTTTGTACCACAAGACCAAAATGCTTCTTGGAAACTCTATACCGGATATCTTTATGAGTTCTCAATTAGTTTCATGAGCGGAAAAAGTCTTGAATACGTGCCTTTTTTCACACTTTTTTAAAGTGTTACTTAAAATGTGTTATTTTATTACTATCGGTACTTTAAAGCAAGAACCATTGATCTCTGACTTCGATCGCTTTTGTCTGTTGTTTAGGCCTCAATCCTAAAGACTTTTCATGCAACGCAATGTAACTGATCAATTTTGAGTAAAAATTTCTTTACTAAATACTCAGAAACCCTGTTTTTGTTCGTTGTTTTTGGTAATATATTCAGCTCCTTTCTCAATCGGAAAATAAATTTAATTTCTCAAACAGATTTTTCAACGTGATATCTAAAATAACTTAAACTTGAAATCGTCATCTTTAGTACAATTGTTGGGGAAAAAATAACAGTTTACCAAATACTAAACTTTTTCTTTGTTCTTTGTATTATATTATCATTATATAAGATGATTTCTTTTCCCGGGTTTACAGTCTGGGTTATATTCAACTCTGTTCTTCATTAAAAATAAGTTTGATTTTTCCTACAGATTTTTAACGTGATATCTAAAATAACTTATCTTTCATCTTTACTAATTGTAATAATTTCGGAGCAAAACTTTGATGTAAAAATATCTTATATGTTGTTATATCTTTTCGTACATTATCTAGAACAAATCTTGAACTATGAACAACATTGGCCTAACGAGGAATAAATAGTCCCCAACCAATTCACGGTATAAGTTATGTAAACTTTAATCCGAACTTTGAAATATTGTTTGACAAACAAAGGGATTATCTGGGCTTACAATCTTAAACAGTTTTGTAACTGTTGTATAAATGAATGGTGTAAAGCTGAATAGAACTAACTCAAGTATTTGCTCTAAACTATTTACCAGTTTTGCGTTTACTTTGAATTCTTCCCAACGCTTTTGGTTGCTTTCAATGGCAGAATTTCAAGCATATCTAGTGACATACAGGCGTTCCGACAGTACCGAAGAGTGGGGAATTCTTCACTCCTTCTTAGAACAAGATCATAAAATTGTAACTAACTTTTCCTTTGCTAATTTTCTTCAAATGTTCCGTCGTCCTCTGAGTGAATTCTTTAAATCAGCTAAGACATTACAGTTTGTAGGAATAAGGAAATTGTCGAACAAAATGAATACTTTCCAAGCAATAATCTAGAATGGCTTTATGAATCTTGCCAGCAATCTTGATAGCGCTCCCACTACACTTTCATTCCAGCCAAAAATTTGAACGATGAAGAAAATKAACTTGATATTAAATATACTATTTAAAACATTAGTTTATTTTTCGATTTCATATCAAATATTTTTTAATATCATTTTGCATAAATATGTGTTATTTTCTACTTTTTTTTCTTTTCTTTGTTGTAATGCATTCTCTCTCTCTCTCTCTCTTTGTAGCAAGTAGTCCACTATTCCCTAGACTATATATATATATATGTTTATATATCCAGATATTTACAAATAATTTTCCACTTCACAAATCTAAAGTTAGCTCTTAATACTGGTATACGCTCTAAAAAGTCGAATCCCTCACTTCAGTTCTGGTATTGCTTCGTAGCATTTTTTTTTTTTCTTCTTCTTTAGCAATGAAAGAGATGCGACTAAAACAACAATATAATCTAAACTAATCATGGCCCTGGGAATGAATAGCTCTATCACTTATCATTCTTGGATGTCATTAACGCGAATGAATGCCTCATTCTTCCTTTCTTAATATATTTTTCCTTTATTTCCTATTTCGTTTATTATATTTCATGGTTAACTAGCGCCCCAGTTTCAGGTTAATCAATTCAATGCTACAGCAGAATATTTTGAAAAAACGTGAGCATCGAGAGACAATAACCTAACGATATAATCTATAAAATTTCTGCGTCTTTCAAAATGTTCACACCAAAGTGACTCGAAATTTCCCGTCCAAACTCACGAGTTGATTAAATTTGATAAATCAAATCTATTCTTGACAGAATTCAGGGTTTTATTTGAACAGTAACTCTAGCAATGACCTATACCAATGAAGATAGCCTTTTATATTTTATTGCTATCTAGAAAAAGGTATTGCTAGTGAATGGCAACGATCTCCGGTTCGTCTAGTGTCCTCTTGCCGCTATTCCTTCATTATCTTCAATGATTTTGGCATGTTTATAGACTGCCTATATCAGTCAGGGCCATGAACTTTGTCAAGTAGTTGTTTCCCCTTGAAAATATTTAGGGAAAACATTATCAGAAGAAATTACTGGTTTTTTACTGCCTTGGCCATCCTGAAGTGGATTAGGTCGTCAGTGTTTGAACACTATTGTTAGTGAGACAAGTGGATATCCGATCTACTTTGCCTATCAGAGTTAAAGATGATTCCAATTTCCGAAATTTCGGTCAAAACCTGAACGCATCAAAATCCATCTGCGAAAATACTCAGAACTCATCGGCTTGCTTTGCCATGTCTCCTGTGTCTCTTCACCGACGTAATTTCTATTTTATTGCCGCTCCAGAATCGGCAATTAGATCTCTCAGGTGTCAATAGAAACAATTTTATTAAAGTTTTAATTTGATTAGCGACCACCAAAAATAAAGGCGAACGATGAATTACTCTTTTAAGTATCCTGCTAGGCCGTACAGTATTTAGATTGAAAGGATATTATTACCTTAATATTGTTTAATATCTCAATTTCAAACGCGGCGGTTTCTTTTGTTCAGAGAATGTACCAGGCTCATTTGCATTTTAACTTTGATTACTCGCTAACGTTTAAGCAAACTTTACAGTCCTCAGGAAGGCACTTTATTCCGAGAGCTTGGTATTTTATAAATTTTGAGAAAGCCCTTAAGATTGTTTGAAAAATACTAGCTGTGTTAAAATCAATCATTAAGATACTGTGATGAGAATTCGTTCAATACGAGGTTTTTTTCGGCAAATGTGAGTCTACGACCGGAAAAGGCAGGGCATTGGATATTACGGACCTTTTTTGCGAAAAGCGACTGAGCTTTATGATGCAAATTACGTAATAAACTAATCAATAGACTAATATCTGGCCTTTCTTGTCGCTCACACGAACAAGACGAAATTAGAAATCACCGACAGGATAGAACAAAAGGACCCAATAAGTGTTTTCTGTGTAAAGTTGAGCGAAAAAATGAAGTAAGACATTAGATTAACTCAATTAACTTGAGCCATTGGATAACAGCTGCAAAGAAATGGCTTGCAGTCGCAAACAATCATTTTGGAGACGGCTTTTGTTTGGTCTTTGATTCGCTCACAGTGGTGTATAGCGTAAAGGTGCTATATCAGCTACTTTATCCGTGTTTATAGGCTGTGGGCTCGTTCTTGAGGGCTTTACTTAACACTCTTTGTAAAAAAGGTAATACTTAAAGACCCAGGCGTCTAGTTTTGATACAAGCATTCGCTCGTGTTTAATCGGCAGATAAAAGGGAAAAATATGACTAATTCTTGTCGAATTCTCCTGATCATTACTGATGTTGCGTTAAAACAGCTAAATACATCGTGGCACAAAGCTGATAAATTCCCAAAATCTTTGAAATTTATGAAATTCTATTGGGTTTATTTTTCTTAAAGTCACATGATAGAAGCCCTTATACTATTTGTGCTTCAACATTTGTTTATGTGTCAAACCCCTTTTCAAATTTCTAGTTCCTTGTATCATAAAGTATCTTCAATTCTCYCGCTGCGCTTGAGTGACAAATAAGGCAAAGGAGTCTTCAACTGCACTTCGGGACGTCAATCAAAACGTTCATCGTAACACGCAACTCGTTACTCATTATAAACGGGTAAAAATTGACTGGCCAGATTTTACGATCCTAACTGACTCTAGACTATAGTATAGTACAGCGGTAAGGTACATTGAACATAAGTATCAGAGGTAAACTAACAGCTATCTAAAAAGGAATTACTTTGTTCTTGGAGGTGCAGATAGTTTGAGGACAGCACAAGGCTTCATTTTGGACCGAAATTGAAGACGATCGTGCGACGGTATTTTCCCAGTACGACATTCTGGTTGGTAAGTAATTTTAAAGATTTTTTTACTATTTTATTTATATGTTTGTGGAATCACTGCGACTTGAAGTTAGCCAGTACGTCTTGAGCTAGGAAAATCCTGGACTCAGATGAATTAAAATACTCCATCTTACGCAACTATTCACCCGGTTACACACCAAAACACTCGAATAAACCTCTTCAAAAAGGGTACATTTCCGCTCTCGCCATACAGACGACTGTTTCTGCTTAAATCTTCTCGATAAAAACATTTTGATCAATCATTTAAATAGTCTTGATCACAGAACCAAAACCTTTCTTCGAATGCTTCATTTTCTGCTAATCGTAAGACTTAGTTTTTATTGAACGTAGAAACGACCGTAGATTTTCTTTCCTCTAAATCCACTGCTCTTTTGGCAAACACTGGGATCTATTTGAGGACTGAGTATGCTTACTCATTAGAGATTGTCCAATACTTCTAAACTGAAGCTCCTTAAGATTGTTTTGTTTAGAATTAACTTGACTAATTTATAATAGCCAAGTTAAAAACACTCGATTCTGCAGCATACCGGTTGTTTTGACCACAAAATTGATCAACAGAAATCTTAACGCCGTGCAATGAAAGCGCTGCTCGGACATAGACTTTTTAGTTGCGGGTCGACCATTGTTGAATAAGCAGACAGAAGTCAGTTTATAGGTTAAAGTGTTGGCTAGTTTAAAATCGTGACAGCTACTCTTGTAATTTGTGCCAAAACGATTCTACGCTTTGATTGTCACGGCATGAATCATTGCCCACAAATAAGCCCCTCGCGTAGTGGGCAAAACAACCTTACAAAAGAAACCCCGCACTGCACTACAAAGAAAACATAATAGAACGTAACAATTGCTAACGATCATTAAGGCGTACTGCCTAGCGCCTTCTAATCCACATAATCGTTTGTTTGATGGGAACTATCCGTAATACCAGCCAAATGGTACCGTTATTTTACATTACCCGGAACGAACACGAAGGCGGTAAGGTAACGAACGACCTGATAACGCTTGCTTAGCGCTGAGGTACGGTACGTACTTGCTCGAAAGCAGTTGTGAATGGAACAGGAAACGGACGTTTCAAGCTGTTTTTAGCGTAGCAGTGCCTAACCTGGGGGTGACTTATTTCCATTGGGACGCACGAAACACCTTTGAGTTATATTTTAATACCTAGATGAAACACATATAGAAGTAAGTAGGGTTATTTCACTAGATAATGAGATACCCTTATTAGCCTTGGAGGGTGATTTGAAGTGTTGCTCCCGTTCGGCCTTAGCTGTTTATAGCTATAAGTGGATAAGAAAAGATGATTTTTTTCGTCCTAAATCATTTAAACGAGACCCAAAGTCTCGTGCATTCTTCACATATTAGACTCGTGTGGAGCCCGGTGGGTTATTTTTCCTTGGTTTCTAAGATTTTGAACTGACGTACTGCGACTCTACAACGCGGACGGTTCGCCTCATATGAAGAAGCATAATCATTATTTTTTATTTCAAAAAATTGCTTAATTTCTAAGGTGAAAGAAATTTTACAATTTCATTAGGCAAATATCACAGAAGTGTTACATACCATAGTCAACTGAGTAAAGCGAAAACGATTTCACTAGAACTGAGATCAAAGTTAGGAGTCTAGAAGGAACTTGATAGCTTTTCAGTAAAGCACAAGTTGTTTGCATAACGATTTTATTATTTCGTTTATAACCATTTAATTAAAAAGGTTACCTCAAACTTTAATGAATTCTTCTTTATTGAGCTACTGAAATCAAAGTCAAATTCAAGGCGGTTCACAAAAAATCTGAGCAGCGCAGACAAAGTTTGTAGTGTCAATGATGTGCGAATTTTACACAAGCTCAGCAAACATTTCAAGRGGTTTGGAAGACATTTACCTGTCATTATATGGTGTGGCGTGTTGTATTGCGTTAAATATTTGCATTGGAAGTAAACTCTAGAGATAATTCCAAGTGCTACGGAAGAATGGCTCGAACAATACTTGATCATGGGCGACCCGTCTTTTGAAAATATAATAAGAGAAAAAATTGTTCGCCTTACCTACTTGAGCACTATAAATTAAATTAAATTATTTTTGTAAAAGTTTCTCTTTTCCTCTCATGGTAGCTGGGTTTTTTTACACTTATTGTACCGTAATTGGCATCCTCTTCTCTTGCTGGTTAGGCCAAATGTCTCAGTTTCAGTGTTTCGCGACGGCATTACTAGTGATTTTTAATCTTCTTTATTCTAGCAAGGTTTCACGTTAAGGTCACTTTTGAAGTAAGATAATTATTATCTTAGTTTGTTAAAAACCGTGCAAAACAATTCGTGGAAACAAGATACACGTTTTGATTTTTACAACAAAGGCTTTTCAGTTGAAAGATCTGAACAGACGATTTATACAGCTTCTTGTGATCCAAAACAAGTTCCATTAAGATTGCAGTTGTTCGACTCTAATAAAATAACTAAAAAAAAACACATGCATATAGCTTGAAATTTTAAAGGCACCAACAAGCTCTTCACGTAAGCATTTATTGGCTCATCAGATAAGTCGTTCTCTAAACACAGTAAAAGGCCATGTTTATAAACTTTTCCCTACGTTATCTCCACAACACTTGCCTGTTGCCTTTTGGAATATCAGCTTCAGGAGATGTCAGATGAAGATTTGTCACAACTCTGTGTGACATGGGAAGTTATCATCCATCCTAAACACTTCTGACATCATAACTTACTTACGGTTATAAGTATCTTGGTACTTAGGGGTATGTGAGTGACAGGAAAACCTGCTCAATGTCAGAGAAGTGTATCGTCTCATTGTACATGTTCTGAGAGGAACTTCGCTCACTCGAACCTAGCCAACATTTAAAAGAAGACCTTGTCGTTCTTGCTTACCCTAAATAAAGACTTATCAGTATATACACAGGCCTTCCTAATCAGTCCAAGAAGGCAAGAGAGATAATTCATAAACGGTGAGTCGAAGTATAGATTTCTTTATTCAGCAGAAGGAGAAAGTACCAAAAGGAGATGTGTATATTGTGGTACTCGACAGAGTTTTGGCTTCGATACGATAGCTTTCAAAGTTTCCGGACTTAATTCTCAGAAGTCGCGCGGTACGAGCCGTACTGGTCGTTAATTCTTCCCCTATTTCTTTATCCACATCCTCTAAATGTAAGTTATACATTTGTAATTGATAAATAACAGATCTTTTAGCAGCGTAATAAGGTGTCTTTGGAAAGCCATTCAAAGGTTTTTTCATGGGTTCTCTGGTTACCGCACACAACATTGTAATGAGACTTGACTTACTGTGTTAGTCTCGAAAGCTTTACGTGCTAACAACAAAGAAGTAAAAAGCTGCAAGGCAGATGCATAGAGCCGGATACGGCGAATGTAAAGCTGAATGGTGAACGAGAGATAACAATATTTTGTATACATATTTTGTGGGGTGAAAACCCAAACACCTCTAGATAGCCCATAACGAGCATGAGTGAGAAAAATGACATGCTCCGTGCAAACTAGTCCATCTACATCCGTTTGAACAATACATCAAAATGCTTCTTTCAACGTATTCTAAATGAATTTTCAATTCTTATTTTATGATTTAATATTTTAGGTGGTTTATAACGAGTCTTGGGTATGATATTTACTCGTACTTTAGGTACGATTCCATGTTTAATCGAATTTACGAGAACAGAGACCGTGTTAATCGAGTTATCAAAATTATATTTCGCTTTATAAACTTTTTCACTGTTGTTAACTTAGAAAGTTTTCTTGTGGATTGTTTTGGGCTTTGTTTAGTTCAGTTTAGTTCTATTCTGTTCCCAAATCCGTCGATTGTTCGTTACAAAAGACAGGACCTAAGTAATTCAGTAAATGACTATATACCCTCTGACTCCAAGAAGACTATATATTTACAAGATTATTTTCTGTTTAAACACAAGGTATAATTAAATGTGAAGATGGTTTTTCTAAGAGAAAAATAACACAATAAATGGTTAAAAAAATTGAAACAGTTGTTTGAAAATTAGCAGAAAGTACCATGCTCGCCAGTACTTTATTCACTTGAACAATAATCAATGAAGGTCCTGATCTATTCCTGTTCCATCGATCTCTGGGAAGCTTGGTCTGGGTTTGGCTTTGTGTATTGTTTTCAGTTCTTTCTGTACTATCAAAAAATACGAGCATTAAATATAGACAAAAGATCAAACTAAAGAATGAAAGAAATGAAAGAATTTCTATGCGTTGAATACAGAATGATAACTTATAAAGCATTTTCGTGTATGTTTTTAGGTAATTGTCGATTGTAAATGAGGACGTGGACATGACTCTCAGAGAGTCGCTTTCCAATGCTTCACTAAAAGGTTCTCCGATGTTTATCAAAGATTATTGATTTGAAAATACAGATATATAAGACGATACTGTCAATATTATCTGTGTACATTTAAAACAAAGACGGCAAAAGATTACAAAGGCTTACAGGCTTTAAAAGCTACGGATAACAGTTCTCTGATGTCTAGAAATGCTCTGTCCTGCTCGAGTCAAAATGAAGAGRGATGTCCCCAGAACATTGTTCTGTTATGTTCTAGAAATTTCTTATGCTTTCTCTGATACAATCATTTCTCAAGGCCAAAATTGAATGAAGATGGCTGTAAAAGTATTCAATAAAGATGTGAAAGACTACCTTAACCAAGGTGTAAGCCTATAAAATGTTTATTTGTTGAAAGATTTGTAATGTTATGATGAACTGATTCACGACTCGGTGTCGTCGCCTTTTTTCCTAATGTACTTTTCTGTCTTTCTTTGTATTTCTTTTTTAATTAAGAATTATTAATTGAACTAAACCAAGACTTTTCATTGAATAGATGTTCTGTGATGTGCCTATTGTCGGCTGGGCCAAAAACTCTTTCACTTAATTACTATCCTATTGACTGGAATAGCCAAAGAAACTGTAATCAAAACTGTTGTTTTTAAATTATATTTTCGACGAAGCAAGCACTTTATGAGTAATATC